CTAACAATGACAACTTATCTTTGCACATTAGACAGCAAAATTCTCAAAATGTTAAGGGTAAAAATGTTGAAAAAATAAAAGTTGAAGATGTTTCAGTAAAAGTAAACATTGAAAAAAATAATGTAAAGGGTAACAAAAATAAAAGGAAAAGGACAAATAGGAAAAAGAAAAAATGTCCAAAAATTTCAAATGATTCGAAGATAGATCTAGGTAATGGGTGCACACATTATCAGGCTAATATCGACGAAAAAATAAAAAAATGAGAGCGAGATAAAGAATGTGAACTTAAAAGAAATTTTAAAAAGTTATGGTGATATTTTTGCGAAACATAAACATGACGTAGGAGAAATTAGAATGGAACCTCAAAGAGTCAGGTTAACCTCAGATTTACCTATATCTCTAAGGCCGTACAAAACATCCCCAAAACAACAACAAGAAATTGATTTACAAATAGAGGAATTGTTAAAAAATAACATTATATAAGAAAGTTCATCCCCTTATGCTGCCCCAGTAACTTTAGTGTTTAAAAAAGATGAAAATAAAAAGAGTCGTTTATGTATTGACTTTAGGAAATTAAATCAAATTACAAAAACAGATTCTGAACCTCTACCTTTAATACAAACTTTAATAAAAAAATTGTCTAATAGTAGTTATTATTCTAAAATAGATTTATCACAGGGATATCATCATGTTCGTATTCATCGTGATGACACTGAGAAATTAGCATTCGCTACTCACAATGGTCTATTTGAATACTTAAGATTACTTTTTGGCTGGAGGAATGCCCCGAGCATTTTTCAACGCACAGTTCGTAGAATTTTAAATAAACATAAAATTAAATTAGCTACAAACTACTTTGATGATATCATTATATTTTCTAATTCTTATGATGAACATTTAACCCATCTTAAAAAAAGATTTTTGATATTGGTAAACAGGAAAACTTAAAATTAAAACTTTCAAAATGTTCATTTTTGCAAAAACAAATAGAATTTTTAGGATATGAAATTAAAAATGGAATTGTATCACCCGATAACCATAATATTGAAGTGATTAAAAAACTATTGCCCCCTAAAAATGTAAAATCATTGCAAAGATTTCTCGGATCAATAAACGTTTACAGTAAATTTATTGATAGTTATGAAAGTATTCGACATCCTTTAAATAACTTGTTAAAGAAAGATGTAAAATGGATATGGTCAGAAAAATGTCAACAATCTTTTGAACTTTTAAAGAATGCTATTATTTGTAATCCAATTTTGAAAGTTTTTAACCCTAATCATGAATGTCAGATTTTTGTTGATGCATCGTTAGTTGGAATTGGATGTGTGCTAAAGCAGACAGATGAATGTGGTGTATTGCATCCTGTAGCTTTTCATTCTCGTTCATTAAGGGACTATGAAAAAAACTATGCAATTACAGAACTTGAATGTCTTGCTATTGTTGATTCTCTAAATAAATTCCATCATTACCTTTTTGGACAAAAATTCTCCATACATACAGACCATGCTGCTTTAGTTTGGCTGAGAAATGCTAAAAATTTAAAAGGTAGATTATTTAGATGGTCATTATTGTTAAGTATGTATACCTCATGCATGGTAGACTCCCCTACGAAAATCCCTTAAATGAAAAAGTCTATCCACCTGTTGAAGAAGCTAAAAAAATAGCAATTCAAAGAACTAGAGAATATCATGAAAGAAATAAAATTTATTATGAAGCCAGATTTTTAGATATAGACTTTAAAAATGATGAATTAGTTCTGTTTGAAGAATTTACTTATCCTAATACGAGGAAGTTATCACCTCCTTTTAGTGGACCGTATAAAATTCTTCAAAAAATTTCAGAAGTTAATTACAAAATAAATAAAAAGAATAATTTGAATACACAAAATTTTGAAATAGTACATATTTCAAAGCTTAGGAAATATCACAGCCCACAAATGTTGAAATTAAATTATGAATAGTCACCAAAAGAAAATTTTTACTTTCTTCAATGGAAGAAGTAATCCCTATATTTTTGAGAGATCCGAATCGCGTTATGTGGAGATGTTTACCTCAGCATCAGTTGGGAGTGAGGGCGAAGTAACTTGAACTTTTTTTTTTAATCAACACAGTGAGAAAAACTTTCTAAACTATTTTTGTTTTATCCAGTCTGGATCTCTCAATTTCACAGTGCTTCAGGAAATTCTGTTTTCCTCCATTTAAACGGGGAATACAGAATTTCATCTTGTAAATAACCTCATTAACCACACAGAATCTTAAATTCTGATTAAATGACACTTGTTGTCCAGTTAGTTTTGCATAAAAATTTTGTATATTTTTGTGTGAAAGTTTTTGAAAAGTTTTTTAGAATAGTTACATAAAATGTTTCATTTTTTCTTTCTGTTTAGTTCACTAAACAGATAAAGTGTATTATTATATTTTTATTGTTGTTGCTGTAAATAGTTTTTTCACATATTGGAAAAATGTTATTTATAGTAGGAACGAGGACAGTCATACCAACATAAATTTTATAAATTCATACTATTCTAAATTTTATTATTATTTTTTTGGCTTACCCAAAAAATTTTTTATGGGGGGGGGGGATGTAATACAAAAATTAAATACTTTTGTATTAATAAAAGCATTAAAATTTCATTCGTTTTCATAAAAATATCTTTGGTAAAGGATAAGGGTAGAAATTCTATTTTGGGACTTCAAGGCTAAAAACATGCCAATGAATAATAATTAGATTTATATTTCAAAAGAGAAGTTATTTTAAGATCTTTCACTTCCATATAAGGAAAGATTAAACGATTTTCTATGAGTAATAAATAAATTTGATGAGGCGTAAGACTACGAAAAAGGCAATAATGACTGGCCTCTTCACAACTTTTAATCATCCTATAAAACGCAGGAGCAATGTTTTTGCGTCGCCTTTTGTTGTTTTATAATGCCTAACAAAACTACGTCTATTTAGACGGGATATGTGTTTCCCCTCTCCAGTTTGGAGAGGGGTTAAACTGCTATTTCACCATCGTTTATTAAAATAAAAGATAATGCACAACATGGACTCATTAATTATGCTGCGTTGACTTGTAATTAACTAAAAAATATCGGTGTGGATCCACCGTTATTTCAAGCCGAACAGGATACTGCGGCTTGCGGAGGAAACTAGCTTAAAGGAGCCTGGCTGCAACGTAGAAATTTTCCCCATCAACAAACAACACCGGAAAAAAAGTTAACGATCAGTTAAGCGGATTCGAAAAACTCATTCATTCACCCACCCGGGAGAAAAATTGCTTCATCGGTGACCAAAAAATATCGCCNATTTAAAAAAGTGGTAGTAACGCAATATATTTTTGTTTATTTATTATCTCTCTAATTTTTCAATCGTAACTACCACTGTGACTTACATTTTGAATAATTCATATTTTAAAATAAAATCATTCTTTGCATTCCCTGTCTAGAAAAAATTGTTAATTTCAGTTTTTTTTAAATAAAACATTTGTCAACACTTTCTTTAGTTTCTGTCGCCAGTGGCAATTCTGCTGCTACTACTTATATTATTTCATTACTTATATTATTTATACTTATATTATTTATACTTATACTACAACTTATCTACTACTGATACTATTTGGTTAAACAATCATTCATCGATATACTGTTATTTACCAAACATGTTACAATTGTGCTTGCATTACTTTGAAAATATGGAGGTTATATATTCAGTTAAAAGCGATTTTATGGTCAGATAAGCAAACACGATGTGAGTCATTTAGATTTACATAAAAACTTACATTCGATAAACCAAATAAAAATATAAAATTTTTATTTTATGGGGAATGATATGGTGTTTTTTCCTCTTTTACTAATTCTAATATTTATAACCAAAACATACTTACCTACACATTTTTCGTAATCCTCGTTTAGTAAATAATTCTCTGGACATGTACACACTTTTTTGCTATTTTTGAAAGTGCACGATGTAGCATAGAGTCCACAATAACAATCTGTTGAATAGGAATTTTTATTTTATCAGGTTTTAAACGCTTTACTTCAATACTATATAACAATAATTTGACAATGAATTGTTAGTGAACGATACTTGCTAGTGATATTGCTAGTGCAAGATTACATAATACCGTACTATTTAAGAAGATATTCCTGTAAACTTATTTCTATTTATTCAGTGTTACACACTTTAAAAATTTCTGTATGGAATTATCTGCAAATCATATTGATTGTAACTGCAGACATTTTTTATGTGATTTTTTACTCTTTCTCAAAGACTCTTTCTCATCAAGCTTATTCTATTGTTATAATAACGATTTGTAAAATGAAATTTATCTATATTGAGCCTGTTTATAACACTAATTTATTCTATCGGAATGAAAAAAAATCTTAGATACTTGCTGAACACTTGTTTAGAAATTATTAGTAATACGAAGCGGAATTAAAAAAAAAAAAGTAGTTAGCTTTTTCGTCATAGACCTAACGTGTATTCTCCTTTCAAAACTCGAAACACAGTATTTCTGAATGTAAAGCAATTAGTATAGTTTCGCTATGTATAGTTCCGAATGTATCGCAATTCGTATAGTTTCGCAATATATAAATTTGACTGTATCGTAATTCGTATAGTTTCATAATATGTAGTTCTAAATGTATCGCATAGTTCGTATAGTTTCGCAATGCATAGTTTTAATTATCTTGTATAGTTTTAAAGTATAGTTTCACAATGTATAATTCTGAATGTATCACAATTCGTATAAACTATAACGATTTCATCGTTAGACTGACGAACGAAATTCTTGCACGAAATTTTTTTGAACCTAAACTTATAATTCCATGCATGGATATAAAAGCCTGAACTTGGGAGATATTTTATGTAATTTTGTTGAAGCAAACTTTATTATGAAGAATTAAAATGTCAGAGTTTAAATGCTGTTTTTATATGCAGCTAGTTTCTTTTAAGATTTTATTAACTTATACTCACAAGTTTTTATCACATAACATACGTAAATAATAAAAATTAAAGGACCGGTTTCTTATCTTATAAAATTAAAGGTCGATAATGACATATAGAATATATAAATAACATTGTAAAATGGCAAAATTTAGTAAGAATAATAGAAAGCAAAGAGTCAATACGTTCACACTTGTCATTGTTTTGAGCGTAATCAGTCATACAGTTGCAAATTTTTTCACCATATGCGTTGTAGTGGCACCCTCCTGACCAAAATCCACAGTCACATTCTAGAAAAAAAAATATATCCATATNCTTTGAAAACCGAAACTAAAAATTGGTGCTGCCATCCTTAAATAAGAAATTTAAATTAAGGAGTGTTGCCACCACTGAAAAATAATATTAAAAATCGAAACCAAAACTAAAAGCGGATAATCAAGTGGGCAGAAATAAGCAAGCGGGCAGAAATAAACACCTTCCGGTTTATAGGAGGGCAGAAATAAGCAACTCCCGGTTATGTCAGGGGCAGAAATAAGCAACTTCCGGTTGGGCAGAAATAAGCTCCGGTTGACTGTGACGTCACTTCCGCCGCTTATACCGGGTGGTATACTACTCTTAGTGTTTTCATGTATTTATTTATTTATTATATATATATGCAGAATCTTCGAAGTTATATACCGAAAATAAAATAATCTCATCATAAATTGTATCGTTGTATAAATTGTATCGATATTCATAATTGTATCGTTAATAATTTCGCTGTTGGACTGACGGGCAAAATTCTTTCACGAAAATTTTGATTTAATTGATTTTGATAGTAATTTTGATTTAATTGATTTTGATAGTAATTTTGATTTAATTGATTTTGATTGAAATAATTGATTTTTTTTTATCTAAACTTAAAATTTCTTTTATGGACAAAAAATCCTAAACTAATAAGATATTTTAGGAAATTTTATTAAAGCAAATTTCATTCAAAGGAATAAAGATTTCTCTAATGCTAGTTTCTCTAATGATTTTGTTAATTTATTCTTGCCAGTTTACATCATACAACATACATAAATAATAAAAACTTCTTATAAAATGAAATTTCGATAATGACGTATAGAATATATAAATAACATTGTAAATTGGTAAAATAGATTAAGAATAATAGAAAGGGAAGAGTCATTACGTTCACACTTTTCATTGTTTTGAGCGAAACCAGCTATACAGTCGCAAATTTTTTCACCATATGCGTTATAGTGGCATCTTCCTGACCAAAATCCACAGTCACATTTTAGAACAAAAATATATAAATTTCTTAGATTTGTCATGTAGTTGAAACGAAAAGAGGTAATATAGTTTCATTTTCGGAGGAAATGATTTTTTTAAAGAAAAATATACCGAATGAATGAAGAATCTTCGAAGTTAAATACCGAAAATGAAATGATTCCTGCATAAATTATGATCTGATGAAAGTGTTTTCCCTTAACTAGTTGTAATCTCCATGGGGCTTATTTTAGAAAAATTGACAAGTAATTAGTCGTAAATATAAGATTATGTCATGTTAAATTGAGATTGCTTTAAGAGTGAAATGCGATTTTCTCTAATTGCATAGTTTACAGTGACAGCTTACATTGTGGCCCATTCTTGAAAAGTTTGAAAAAATTTCAATAGAACTTTTTTTCAAATTTTCATCAAAAGAATGTGAAATATTGTGTTTCAATACAATATTCTTGCACCATTTGTTGGTTAAACCGCTTTTATTGACTTCTGTATCAAAAAGTGCTTAATTTGGATCACTGAATGCAAAATGCAATGCAATATTTACGCAAATTATACGTTCTATTATAAGAATTATATTAAATCGATATTACATACAAAAATCAATAGTGGGAGGTAATTGATTATCATTTGAACATTGCGACCTAAATTTCGGACAAAATAAAAATGCAAGTACTCCTAAGTGTGGAACGGTAAAATTATCCCAAAATGTGGAACGGTTTCTTTAATTTATGGAAGATTTTGGACAAAATACATTGTGCATGCTAAATAAGGTAATAAAATAAGCTTCTTTGTATCCTTTACTTGAATAAAAGATTATTTTCATATGCGTTTATATATTTTGTGTTTTTTTTTTGAATTAGACAATGAAAGTATCGAAATTAATGACTGGTAATGTACAGTAGGTAAAAAAATAATAATATATGACTTTTTAATGTAATTAAATGTACTACTTAAAATTTGATTTTTCAGGAACCAACTGAGCGATTTTATTCAAATTTGCATTTTGTTACATGAAATTACACTCTTTAAAATAATGTAAAAATATGTACACTTTTCAGTTGAAAGTTTTTTTTTGTGCTTTAAATTAGCTTTGAATAAATGAGTTTTATAATAGCGTTAAAATTTTTTTTCCGAACAAAACCCTCACGAGGCACGGTGAAATACGCAAAAAGTAAAACTAGCATGAAAAGATCCAAACGTTCAACCACGGCTTTCCAGACTATATTTCAGTTTCTGATTTTATCTCATACATATATTAGTATCATGCTTTAGAAATTCTATACTAATCGTAACTACTCCTTATAATTTGAGGTTCATGGTAAAAAAAGTTCGTTTCCACGTCAGATTTCGTAATTTAAGATGATCTCTGCTCCATTTAATAAGCATATTTAAGACCATTTTTTTAAATCAATCAAGAAATATTTCAGGAGTTCCTATTTTAGCGCTCTGCACATTTTATGAATCTGGGAAAAATTATAAGCTAGAGATGGGAAACACACGTGGCTGTCATGATTTCTTTATGCAGCCTCTATCTCTCAAAAATTAATCAATATTTAATTACGTAAATTATAGGAGTTTGAAAATTAATAGAATAAAATAACTTGTAGCCATCTCATGAACATAGCACGAATTACTAGTATGGCGCGGTGTTGCAGTTCCAGAAATCTTTCATATTCTGAAATCAATGCCATTCTCTTGCACTTTTCAGTTTGCCAAAGCACAATGTTGGAAATTATTGCGTTTTGTTCTTATTTTCAGCCAAGTTTCATCCCTCCTAAAAATACACTAACCCTGTTCTTGTCTTTACCCACCAGACATCGTGACAGTTGCTGTTCCACACGACAGACAGTACTTAATTTACTCCACTGCTCATCAGCAACCCTCAGCAGTCCACTGCATGTTGCTGAGTTGGTGATTTGCAGTTATCGGAGAGTGCTTTTAACAGTCTAATCTCGTATTACTATTATTATTGTGGAAATTTGGTTATTGTTTTTTATACATATATTTAACAGATACACTGTTTTATTGTATAGTTAGCTTTCGTGAAGGTACTATATGATATTCATTTTTCCTCCATAGAGTCAAATTCAATGGAAAAATCAAAACAGGCATGGCTCAGTTTTCGTACATAAGTATGAGTCAAATATCTTAGAAAGTAAAAGGGTTAAATAACGTTTCATATAATAATTTGAGATACTTTAAATATTTGTCCATTAATATAGGTTTTTTGAACAAATACTGTCGTATACTTTAGAAAAGGACTATTTTTTGTCAGGAAAATCGGTTTAAGTTACAACATGGTGTTGCACTATGGATCACCGTATATAAAATATGAAAAAAAAATTTCAAATAAAATTACGGTTAAAAATACCGACACACTGAATATAACAAGATTAAAATCTTTTTTACGCACAATCCATTTTTACCGGAAAATCTCTTACTGTAATTTTTAATGTGAGCAAATTACAATAATTTTTTAATATATATTACTGTAAAAATTACGATATATCATATTTTTGTTTTGTAGAATTTTACAGTAAAATGGGTTTTACCGTAAAAAGTGCTAGCACCCTAATTGCTGGTATTTTTTGCCGTAAATTGGCCTGAATTTTTTTACAGTGAAACCGCAAGCATATAAGACCTATAATATAAGATAAAAATAAGAGTGGAAAGACGACAAAGAAATAAATAACAAAAATTTGAAAAGAAAAAGAATATTAAAAATTTAAAAATAGTTCAAAATTAAAAATATTTTTAACAACAAAAAGTTTTGATCTCGTCATTAGCTCACACTATTATACCTGCAAAAATAGTGCTTTCTAATATTATATTAATATAGTAAAAAAAACATGAACCGTAATTTGCCGAATTATCCATAATTTAAATAAGTAAACTGATTTGACCGTAATTTGATCGAATTCACGATGTTCTGTGAGCTGAAATACAATATTATCTTTAAGCTCTTCATTTCAAACAATTATATCTAAAATATTTTAGATTGTTCTTTTATGCTTATTCCAATACTTGCTTCATTCTTGCTTACAAACTAGAGGGTTAATCAGAAACAATTATTGTCGACAGATGACACTGAAGAATAAGAACAATAAAACAATTGTGCCAGAATAACTATTTTTTGCAACGGCAACGTCGTATAGTCAATATAAAATTTGCATACGACCGAGTAAAATTTCAGTTACAATACTCTAAGAAGCAGCAAAAGCATTGTTTTAGAGTTTCTTGCAATAAGTTGCGCTCTCTTTGAAAAACTTAGCAAATAAAATTGGAACTAGGTGATATTGAAAAGTATAGTTTCCTAAGCATAAAGCAGCATGACTATTTCCGTTTAATTTTAATAAATTTTTCTACCTAATTTCTGACCCTTTTCTAGATTCCCAGTATTTCAATTTGGAATTCAGGCGAACTTGTGAAATTATTTGTTACTTTTCTAAATGGCAAAATATTTAATTTGTAGTTGCAGAAACGATGTCATGTGTTAAAAATGGTTGAATGTACACAATGTTAAACTTCCTCAGAAAGTTAAAGTCTGTACAAATGTTTCATAAAAATACATGATGCAATATGCTATCCCTTTAATATCTACCTTTTACATATTTTGTTTTGAAATACAAAAATCAAAAATAAAATGATAAAATATTCTCTGTTTTATTGCAGAGAGTGTGAAATATTTCACTCACAAGAATAACTAAAGCAGCGTTTTGAAACTAAACAGGGAACTAACAAATGACACGCTAAAACTAAAAATACAAATTTAATAATAATAATGTTGACCAAATTAGTACAAAATTAATTGACATCTATACTGAAATTTCAGTTACTACAAGATTCAGAACTTAACAAAAACTAAAACTTGTCTGATTGTGTAAGGAACGTTAGAAACAGTTCCAATTTTATCAAACAATCAAAAGATTACCGATGTTTTCTCTTCTGTTTTCCTCAATAATGATATCTATATCTTTTTATATCTCATTAATTTAAATTTTAATTTGAGATCCTACGTATTTATTGATTTTACAAGACTTTTAANATAAATTTATATTGATTAAGAGTAAAATACTCACCCAGTTCATAATAACTCTCGTTTTTTAATCCATTTATGTTTTCGAAATCACTAGTAAGTGCTTCCAATACGTTTTCATTCTGTTCATCTAAAATGTCAGTAACATTTTTAGCTTGAACAGAAACTTGGTCAGAATGATTAACAGTCAAGAGGAATGCGACTAGTAGGCAGCACACAACCATTTTTCAGATCTTTCTACTTAATGAGTAAATACAAATTGGTTTCATAACTAAATTTGATGTAATTTGTTTGAAGATAATCAAATGCATAAAATTAGATTGCCAATTTTTTTTTGAAATATTAACTCGATAATTTCTTGGAAGAAGAAACGGATTGATAAGCTTTATCCTTATCACCTTATCAGGTTGCCTAGCAAAATGATGAATGCTGCGGAGAAAAAAAGAAATCAGTTAGGAAATATTAATTAAAAAAATAATTTTGCTTTTGTAATTAACAATTGATTTTGCTTTTGTAATTAACAATTAATTTTGCGTTTGTAATTTGTAATTTTAAGAAATAGCACTGTCGAATTTTTAAACTACAGATTTAATTTTTATATTTTGTATAGCTCTACACTAGCTTAATGTTATTATAAACTAAAAATCATTAATGGTGTTTTTTAACGTAGGAGAGATAAATACGCTGAAGTCATCTTTCGGATTATTGTATCCGTTATTATCACCATGTACCATATTTGGTTGCTCAGTTGTCAGCTTAACAATAATAGCGTTATCTTTAACATAAAAATTAATGATAAAGTTGCAATTATACTAATAAATGCGTGAAATTAAGGAATATTAAGGCTAGTGAATTATAGAATATTAAGAATATTGTATTATATTAAGGCTAAAAGTTATTATTAAAAATTATATGTATAGAATATTAAGTCTAAAAGTTACGTGTATTGAAATAGGTAGTTAGGCTGAAATAAAAATTCATCACAAATTTTTAACAATTGTTTTTTTTAATTTTTTTGTTAAAGTAATATTCAGTGTGTTACATGGTGTGGGCCGTTAACATTTATTTTTAAATTCTTTGACGGAAATAAAGTAAATCAAGATCTAACGAATGATAAGGAAGAAGAGATTAAAAACGTAAGATCCTGTTTGGTTGACAGAGGAAACAGAGAAAAGTTGAAAGACAAAAAATACGTCATATTTCTTTCGGTAAAGAAACTGGTTTAAACATTTTCCTTTCGTGTGTCTCACTTCAGATTCGACATGTTGCGATATCACGTTTTTCAGCTCGCTTAAACGGCGACGCTTATATAGCGATCACTGATGTTTATACTTTTAATCCTTGTTTCCGACAAAGATTCTGCACTTCTCGCAGTAGTCCGTGCTTCAAATGGCGGTTTTCACAAAGCAGTTTTCACAATTCGCGATCGCAACGCTC